TAATGCACCTCTGTTCTTGACCCATTTGGTCACTTTTAAATCTGCCTGCACCTCTGTTCCTCGAACCTATTGGTGGATCTAATTGCTTCTGGTCGCGAGCTTATGCGAACCGCATCGCTAAATATAGCCGGCGTGGCCATCCACGAGGCGCGCCTTGTCTATCCAATCTTCTTTGGTGCACCATGCCCCAGCTGGGGTCATGGGTGTCAGGTCCGTACGGACCGCACGCCGCTGGGGTCGGCCGGCATGGCATGGCCGTCGGGGCATGACTGCGACGTCCGCAGCTGCCCGCCGGCCGCCCACGCTCCGGCGTACAGCACTCCTGCACACGTGCAGGTCATCACTCGGGCCCGGCGCTCCAAGGGTGCGGCGTCGGCAGAACGACGAGCCGTGCACGACCGGGATGGCGACGGAGGTCGTCTGCTCGCGTGTGCACGTGCTGTTCGGGAGGGCGCGGCCGCCACGGTGGTCCGCACGTGGCTCGACTCCGGGAGCCGTGGATCTGGCGGGGCTGCAGAGGCCAGCCTGACTTTACTCGACTCCGGGAGCCGTGGATCTGGCGGGGCTGCAGAGGCCAGTCTGACCTCACTCGATTCCGGGAGCCGTGAATCTGGCGGGGCTGCAGAGGCCAGCCTGACCTCACCCGACTCCGGGAGCCGTGGATCTGGTGGGGCGGCAGAGGCCAGCCCGACCTCACTTGACTTCGGGAGCTGTGGATCTGGTGGGGCTGCGGAGGCCAGCCTGAGCTCCCCAGACATTGGGTGACACTCAGGCTGGTGCGATACGCCGCTATGGGCTGGACGCGCCACCTTTGGCGTCTTCTCATTAACCCCGGACCAACACCCGGACATGCACGAAATGGTCGGTAAAACAGCGATCCTCTAGTCGTTGAACACAGTTTAGTGGCACCTTCTTTTGGCAGTTTTCCATGTAACACAATGCTCATCTCTTTTTGCAGTCATATATCCATCACTCCAGCTATTGTTTATGCGCTGTGACCAAGGGAGAACTGTGGCGGAGGCTTGCCCTGCCATCTTTAAAGTTTATGGTTTATGATGTGTCTTTCGTCCATTTGGTCACAGCAGCACGTAACCGACGCAACATCAAGAAAACCGAGAATGAAACATCTGTGTTAAACACGCGCCGGGGTGGGTGAGGGTAAAATTGACCCCACTGAAGGCTTTCCAGAATGATTGCAGAACGGCGCGGCGCAGCCACGCCAAATTTTGCTTAGCTGTAGAAAATTGAATACTGGATCGTGTGGTATTAAACATTTAGATGTACCTTGAACGGTCGCTGACCTATGGCAGGTCAAAGTCAGGCCATAGTTTCAGCGAAGTCAATTGCTAGGGAGTCGTTTAATCTGATGCAACAAAGGAGTGTTAGACCAGGCCGTACATCTCTAAGATGCTTTCCTAGAGAACAGAAATATTCAATGAGCAAATTACGTTGACCTAAGGTCAGGTATAAAGGTCAGACCAAGTTTAAACCAACCTGTTTTATTATTCTTAGGGCTTGCTGTATGGCGTGGTTTCTGGTGCTCTTTTCGAGTCTAGTGATGACAGGAACCGCATTATACATTTTCCATGAACATCTTGGAAGTCAGAATAGGTTATTGACCTAAGATGACCCAGGTCAACATTTTGTTTTTAGAGACATACTGCCTAGCGTTATCTTTGTTGCTTATTCAAATGGAACACTCGGAGCGGTCTTGTATGATTTTGGTCACCATGACCTTCAACAGGTCAAATTAGGTCACTGACCTTAGATGAGCATTGCTTAGAAACAGTTAGCTAGGTTCTAAGGGCACTTTGGAGACTTACCTGGATTTCGACCTTGCTTGACCTTATTTGACCCAAAGATCATGACCTAGGTACCTCAAGCTTAGACCTAAGTGAGTACACGTGCAGGTCAACACACCCTGTAAATGTGGTGTCTCTAGCTCTATTAGTTCTCGAGATTTCAGGGGGGGGGCAAATTGACCCCCCTATCCGAGCGAAGGGTGTCTAGCCGGTCACCTAGGCGTGTGTTAAGAAAAATGCTGAGCAATGTCCGCATAAACAGGGTTTTCTTGCAGACACCTGCAGCTGATCACAACCTGCATAATTTTTTCCCGGCCGTACGATCACTGAAACACAAAGTCACACACACGCACACACACACACACACACGCCAGCTGCATCAACTGACGCACATACAGCTAAATAGGCGATTCGAAATTGATACCTGTCTGTGCGAGCACCATCTGCTGTTTTGTTTTGTTTGTTTTGTTTTTTTTTTGCTAGCGTCACTCGCCCTGTCCAAAATCGATAGCAGCGTGAGATATGCCCTGATCTCCCTGCCCGGCGACACGTGGGGAGCCTTTGTGCGCGCGTGACCCCAGCTTCTGTCCGGCTCCTGTCACCTCGTGGTTCACGCCGTAGCCGCCAGTCTCACAGAAGCCGCAGAAGCCGCGGTAGCCTGACACCATCCACGACAGATGGATGGTCGGCCACTGGTCCGCCTGGGTGACGCGCAGTGATGCGGGGACGTCCGATTCGCGGCCGCCAGCCTGTCTGTATCGGAGCGGCCGCCGGCCTGTCTGGATCAGGGTCGCAGCCGGTCTGTCTGTATCGGAGCGGCCGCCGGTCTGTCTGGATCGGATCGGCAGTCGGTCTGTCTGTATCGGAGCGGCCGCCAGTTCGTCTGGATCTGAGCAGCCGCCGGTCCATCTGGATCGGACCGACCGCTGGTCAGTCTGGATCAGACCGACCGCCGGTCCGTCTGGATCGGACCGACCGCCGGTCCGTCTGGGTCGGACTGGCCGCCGTCGTGCCCGGTCAGAGCAGTCGCGCGGCCGGCTGTGCTGGGAGGGGCGCGCGCGGCGCGGCGACCCGGCGCCAATGGTCAATAATTTATGGCTCGTTCTCGGGAGGGATGGTTTGTAGTCTTCTTTGTTGGAGGAGAAAGAGCCTCTCCCCGGCCGTCGCCGATAGCATCGGCACGACTTATGACGCGGCCCTGCTTTTATGAAGCATATAAGGTCAACGAGACGGACGCCGTGATAATGACCAGCTGACCGTTGTTTGTGAGGCGCGGCGCGTAACAGCCTGGGTGGTCCATGCCGCCGATGGCACTGCAAAAACGACCATGAGTGCCTCCGTGTACTGGCGAGGGGCCGGTACTCGCTGTGAAAGACGCTGAAGCCGACGTCATGACGCATACGGCATTGCGCCGTCGCTGATTGCCCACTTAACGTCGTCCGAGCCATAACTCATCGTCAACTCGGCGGCCCCAAATGCTAATGGCGGGCCCTGATATCATCATCGCCAAGCGGCTGCGGCGCGTTTTTGGTGTGCGTTCCGCGTCCGGGTCGCCGCGCACCCGGCGTGGCCTGTGCCTCTGTTTGCCTCGGAGCCTGGGAATCGCTTGACCCGCCGGACACAGCGTCGCACAACGGCCTGTGATGAGAGCGCCCGGCCTGAGCAGGCTGCGTAGGCTGCGCTGCGGCGTGCTCCGGCCTCGGCTGCACTTGTTGCTGCTGTGTGGAACTGCGCCTGCTCAGCGCCGGATCAGCTCAGTGCCATTGTGGTGCAGGTTCAGTACTCCGACTTCTTGTCGAGCCCAGCCCGCGCGCACCGGCTCGCAGCTGTCTTGTTTACCTTTGAATGAGCAAACATATGCCCTATGTTCATTAAATTTATCGACACACTTAGTCTGTATAGGTGGTCATTACGCACAGTAAGAACAAAAGATAAGTTTGTATGTCATGTACGTGAACAGATATGCATTGTGTAACATAGAATGTCCCACGTGGTTTTCCCGCCTTTTGTTTTATACTCCGCAACGAGGGCAATAACCTCACTCTTCACATGACTGAAATGCATTGCAACGTCCTGCAACGAGATTATTTCGACAAGACTATCAGTAGGAATGGGAACAGGCCGGTTGTAGTACGACGATATTTAATTATACCTAAACCGGAGTGACCTCCTTGAAGTTGAATGCCTTTTTTCTGAAGAACCTAACAGCATGCTCGAAGATTTACGCATGAATTTCTGGGTCAATTTCCACTGGATTAAATGTAAGTTTGGTTGATTGTGTTTGGCAGCCTTGCTTATCTCGCTCGTAGTTCACTCCGACCTATGCAGCGTATTGCAGTTGAAGTACACGATCTAGCCAGCTTCAAACATTGCGCCTTATGATGGCTCAGGAGTGGCCGGCTGACGGCGCCACTCGGCCGACGCCCGCCGACCGGCGCGTCGTCGCCGACGGTGTGGGGCTGGGGGGGGGGGGGACGCCGTCGCGCAGCTGCCGCCGGTGTCGTTCACCTTCGAGGGCGTACGTGACACGTGCCGGCTATGGCGGCCGCAATCGATTTGTCGTCGGTCGTGGTGTCTGCGGGACGCAGGAGCTGACTTCTGCCTCCTCCCCGCCGCAGATGACCCGGAGAGGTGGGGTGTGGGAGCGGGCCAGGTGTCCGAAGTCATTCGATCTGGGGGAGGGGTGTCCGGCGGCGTCGAGACGCCACCCTTCTGACCGCTGACCGTCAGTGGTGGCGGTCCTCCGCGAGGGGGAAGGGGAGAGCGGGGATGGGGGAACTCTCGGGCGGCGACAGGAACAGTATCGGCTGATTTGACGCGTGCTTCTGGTGACAGCCATAGTTTAATTACTAATCGCAAACTGGAGCGTACAAAAGCCCCTGCTATTGGGTGAGCCGGGCCTGTTTTTGAAGTGAGTGCCTTTCCATGCATTACCATCCAGCCATACACCACCAAGTCAAATATTTACGAGATGTTTGAGTTTTACGCCCTACGCCCCCTCCTTGTTCTAACGTCCATGATTAAAAGTGGTTCATGTTCCTACCATGGAATTAACCATGTCATTTTAGCAGCTGCAGGCCAAAGCATTTGCTCAGAATTGCTATAATTGCCGGCGGTGTATCTTTTCACCGCGGTGCAGACACAACACGCTAACAACCGCGCGGTTGGCTGCTGCTGACATGGCGCTCGTGGCTGCAGCTGGAGCCGCTGTATCCGGAGAGGCACTACGACCTGGTGGTGCGGCCGACGGCGGGGGCCGGCGACGACCCGGCCTGCGACTGCGCTGGCCCACCGCCGCCCCAGTTCCTGCTGCCGCCGCCGCCCGTCGACCCGGCCTGGGCCGCCGCCGACGCCGACGTCTGTGATATCGTAGCTCCGTATCAAATCTGCAGCGGCCTTACCGTAAGTGGCTCTCGGGCGATGTCTGCGCTGATACGTGCATGTTGATAGCGGACTGTCGCAACAGACGCGTGGTCCACGTCGTCCTCGGGTTGCCACATGACGTATGGTGCTGGTCCGTGATGATTTCGTACCCAGATCCCATGCGCCCTCTTGTGTCTTTGAAGAGCGGGTGTAAACACACAACAGGCCGTGTAGGAGGCCAACGGGCGCACGACATCCTTTGCTGACCCCAACGTGTTGACCGGCGCATGGGCTGCAACGTCAATGTTCACTGTAAATCGTGTTTCGCCTATCAGTTTAACCTATGCTGGTATCCACGAAAGGGAGAATGTACCGTACGCAAGAATGATACTTAAAGCAATGCGAGCACTATGAAGCATAAAGCCCCATGAAGCTAGGCAGCTTCATCGTGCCAGAGCTGTGCTGCTGCCTCCGCGCCGCCGGGTCGGACAGGATCTGTTGCAGGGGGTGCCTCCCGGCACGGACCTGCAGGCTCGCCGTCCATGTCCGTGCTGGGATTGGGTAGTGACGGCAGGATGTGTTACAGGGGGTGCCTCTCGGTGCGGACCTGCAGGCTCGCCGTCCATGTCCATGCTGGGGTTGGGTTGTGACGGCAGGATCTGTTACAGGGGGTGCCTCTCGGCGCGGACCTGCAGGCTCGCCGTCCATGTCCATGCTGGGGTTGGGAAGTGACGGCAGGATCTGTTACAGGGGGTGCCTCCCGGCGCGGACCTGCAAGGCTCGCCGTCCATGTCCATGCTGGCAGCTCTCATCACTACCTCGCTTTTTCTTTTCATTGTTCTGGTGTCTGGAACAATATTCTTCTGCAAGTGAGTATTGCCTTTCGAGGTCTGCACAGTGCTGATCTGCGCGATCATCAGTTGCAGTTGCAATGCATTTTTCAAGCCTGCGCATTGTTCAGTCGGATATTGAATGTAATGTCGGTGAAATCTTACTCAGTCTCTTGCAGCGTGAAATATGTGTGGCAAGTCTGACAGTTTTCCAGACACGCACTGGATTACGGTGATGTGAAATCAATCGTGGGTTACAATGGCCTGCGACTCACGCTTCACGCGAAGCAGTGGTTAAACTTCAAGATAGTTATTGCTCAATAGGAAAAACTACACTTCCGGTAGCTGGTTCCTTACTTGTTCACGAACAACAGCCAATAAATTTCGATTGATGGTAGGATTTCGTAACTTCCGGAGACTACCGGGTTTGAATGTAACTGAACGAGCTGTTGCTTTTCTTTTGACGGTCACGTTGAACCGCGTGCCAGGGGACCAGATGACTCAGATTTGGAGAGCAGTCTCCTGGCTGACTAGCGTAGCTCGCCCGCCGCAGGCACGCGCGCCACTCACACCCTGGCGACACCGGAACCCGCTCACGATCCGCCGGCCTTGACCTGCGTCGTCCCGCGCCGCGCGCCACACCGTTGCGCGGCATCCGTCATGCTGGCGCTTCAGCTCTGGTCCCCAGCTGCCGCCGTCATCCGCCAGCCCGCCGCTGATTGGCCGCAGCGCGCGCCGTGGTGATGCCCGCGGGGAGGAGCGCCGGCCGGCCCCCGCCCTGTCACGTGCTCAGCCGGAGGTTGCGTTCTTCGCGGCTCTAATAGCTCGGGCCACGCCCCAACAACGGCCGTCTCCCCGCCATCGCCGCCCGAAGCAGACGCAATATCCCGCGCCGCTCGCGCCGGCGAAGTACGCCGCGGCGGCGCAATATTCGGCGCAGAACGCTGCCGGTCGCGGCAGGCGGCGCCGTGCCGACTTCGGCGGCGGCGTGTGAGCGACGGCGGCTCCCAGAATAGCGCGCCGCAGTCCGGTGTCGGAATGCGCGACTGGCGCGGCATGTCGGCCGGAATGTGTCGCGCCGAGACGCGCTACGAGACGCCATTCGACACATGATTGCGCCGGATGCTCGCGCGATGAAGGCGGAGGGAGAATCCGGCCGTCGGCACGGACGCGCGTCAACATGTTTGCCTGCTGAGTTATTGATCGCGCGCCGAATTCAGATGCGGTAGAGTACGATTATGGCAAGATATTGTGATTATAATACTCAGTTCATGTTTGTGGAAAAAGTTGGAGACATGTGCTGGATAAAGTGTAACGTGTTGCGGTCTTCAAATTGGGATGTTTTTGCGTTGCCTTTGAATGAATGTAGATGTATGCATGTACGCGCCATGGCCGGACCAATGCAACGAAATCAAACTTTTGAGCAGTGGTTGACGTCACGATATCTTCGGTAAGCTCTTGCGCGAGCTTTTACAAAAATAGAATGGAGCAACAGCATTATAAGTCACTTTCTTTGGTTACATCGTCTATCATGAATGCCTGATATCTAGATAATGACTGTTGCCACTGTAACGCTTCTATCTTCACTCATGTTTCGGTGTCAAATGATCGGAACGAGTGTAGGTTTGGCATCGGCGAGATTATGATACGGCCAGGTGTAGATATTGCTACTTTTCGTTTTGCGATGCAAGCACTTGGATGCGAGCAGAGAAAATATTCAGACACAAGCAGGGACCTGTAGCGCGGAGACCGTTCAAACAGGAATGCGTGCAAATCAGAACCACAAGGCCGACGTCCGGCCGCGGCGTCTTTGACCCGAACCGGCCCGCTGGAGTGGAACGGCTTCGCACGCCGTCCCGGCGCAGCTGCAGCTGGTTTTCACAGTTTCCGAGCGAGCGCCTCCACTTCCCTGGCATCTGCCTTTGTCACGCGAGCCGCACCAGGGTGGCGCCGCCATTTTCCGACCAATTTCACACACACACGGTAAAAAGGCGTCCGCCGCGCCGCGCACGGCACGGGCAACGGCGCGTTCTCACGCGCCCCGCAATTGTCGGAGACGCACACGATTTCCCGAGAAGTAAAATGTGGAGTATTTTGAACGGTAGCGGGCGTTCGATCTTCATTTGGCGGCGTTTGCGCGTCCCCCGGTCCCAGGGCAGTTTTTCTTTCATCGGGCGGATCCGCCCATGTTCCGCGTGGCGGCCTCTGATGCGGAGATGCGGAACGACGCGGCCACCCGATCCCGCCACCCCAGAGCGGCTCTCGGACACCTGGTCGGGTCACCCCGAGTGGGTCCCGGCCACCTGATTTTGCCACCCCGGAGCGACTCTCGGACACCTGATTCCGCTACCCCAGAGCGGCTCCCGGCCACCTGATTTCGCCGCCCCAGAGTGGTCTCGACCACCCGACGTCGGCGCCCCACAACGGCCCCCAGTCCGCTGTTTCCGCTCGGGCGGGCCTTGTTCTGGGAGCGGACGCGTGGTCCATGGGAGATGGACAATAGCAATTTGGCACTGCAGTGCATTGGTCATTCGGTGATTTGGCCCCTCTGACATTCAAATTCGCTAATTCAAAAATTTTGCTGCACAAACCGTAGAAAATTTGTCTGCTATGCAATTGCAATTAAGTGTTGAGGGTTGGACATTTTATGTGGGTGTATTACGGCGCGGAAGGAATCCTTTACGGTGGTCGCAGTTTCGCCCCATACACCTGTGCCACGCGACCATCTGTTTTTCCTGCGCGGAACAGGCCAATTGTTCTGTATCGCGCCCACAGTGAGGTGGTAGGAAAAGCAGTATTATATGACACCGCTACCAGGCTTGGGTGTGCTACACACGTGCCCACCCGCCTATCCCTGGCACACATGTGGTCACGCGATTGTCTGTCGGCTGAGGGAACGCTGTCAAGCACTGCGGATCATGGAGATAGACCGCGGACGGATTTTGCCACTACGATATATCAGAACCAAACGGCAGTGCAATAACCGGAGGGTCGTGCGTGCCGCCACATGAAGATGGATGGGATCGAGCCGTGCGCTTTTTTGCCCCTTTCGGTCTGTCACATCCCCCGTCATTTCCTCATGTAGCCCCCCCCCCCCCCCCACATGAATCACAAACGACCAATGAGAATCTCAATTCGAGTCAGCTCACAGGTTACCGTGTGCGCTCTCGCTCTGCAGACACCGGCGCAGACTAAGCGGCATCATGTCAGCCAAGGGCGCGGGAAAGCGCGGTGACAACTCCAGGATGTTGTACGACGACCTGTCGCTGCGCCCGCACGTCATGCCCAACAACCTAAGGCCGAGCGGACCGCACATCGAGGTAGGTCGATGGTGTCAGGACGACGCATGCCGTCGGTCATCTGAGCCTGGTCATGCTTGGAGGTGTGCTGGTATGTG